TTTGACCATTTTTTTAGTTTCCACTGTTTATCAGTGGATCTTTTGGAATACCTCTTCCCAAATCATGTTGAAAAAATATAATGTTGGCATCTACTATTTTAGAATGTTGCAAAATAGCAGTTACCGGACTGTTGTATACATAAAGGAGCAACATGAATGTTTAATAACTTTACTAAAAATGGTATTTTAATTAAAATGAATATAGCTTGATAGATTTAGTTTAACTGAGGATCGTTGTGGTATATTAGCTCATGCCACCATAAACTTTGAATAACTTCTACAAATAGTCTCTATATCTGGTAAAAAAATCTATTAATATAGTCTTAGTATTAGGTAAAATTTAAGCTTATGCATGTCTTATATATGTTGATTAAAGGCTTTAAAAATCTAAATTGAACACATTTTCTATCTATGGAAATAGACAAAGAGTTTAGTTCATTTTTTTTTTTTTTTTTTTTTTAGTACTGCTAAAATTCATGAATTTGGTTGCTACAGCCATATGTTGATCACCAAAGTTAAGTGACATCAGTACTGAGATAGTTGACTGCTTGGGAATACGTGGTTCTATAACCTTGGGTGGGCAAGTGGTGTAATGGATAACAGCTTGGAATTTGTAATCATAGAGCAGAGTTCCAGTTTAGTTCATTATATTTACTTATGTTCAAATATCTCTAGGAAATGTTAGAATTCACCTTCTCCTCCCCCTCCGCTATGGGTTAATTATTAGTTCTTGTATCATTAAATCATCTAAAAAGAAAGAAAAAATCATGGATTTGGTATCATAGTGATTGAATTCAATTCCTGGGTGGGTAGTTTGAAAACACATGACCATATATATATATATATATATATATATATATATATACACACACACATATTTCCTAATGCTGTTTTTGTTTTGTTTTTTTTTTAAATTTTATTAATGCTATATTATTTTTTAAAATAAGCGCACGATGTGAGGTGTGGTAGAAGGTGAGTGCGGGAGTAAAGCAGGTGTACTGGAAATGTATCAGTGGGTGGAATAAATGAAATATATGTACTTTCTTTTCATCCCCCTTAATGAACACAGAAGGAATTTTTAGTATGCATACTACAGGTCATAATTTCTGATCTCTCATTCAAAATGTTTTTTTGGGTCTGGAAAATGTTATAGTCAACTTTTGTTGACAAAAGTTGCAGATAATACTATGATTATAAGGTTTGGCTTTTTAAAAAAAAAAAAAAAAAAAAAAAAACTTCCAGTTTACAATTGACTTTTTTTTTCTTAATTTTCACACATGGTTGGCCAGTATAGTAGAATTCCTAAGACTTCCTAGCTTAAAAGGTGACTTGTGATTATGCCACCTTCAGTACACCTATGTATATTTTTTCTGGCTGTTTGTATCTTACTTTTGCTTTGTAAATTACTGATTTAGTTTTGCAAACTCCATCTAATGGACATCTACTTTTATTTCTACAGTTATCACTGTTAACAATGTTTTGCTGCACATTAGTTTTAGAATTTCTTGTGTTTTGTTTTTTATTATTTCTAAATTGCTAGTACAGCTGTAGTTTAATTTAATTGTTTTTATTAAATTTTATATAATTCAGATATATACAGCAGTACAAGAACAATCTACTCTTATAGGTTAAATTAAAGGTTCAGTTTGAAATTCTCTGAGGGTTACTTAGATGAACACATACCTGAAGAAGAATGGGGGAACACAAAAAACAAAATATTGTGCTAACAAAGATGAGGACATTAGTCAGACTGTAAACAAGTCCTTATCCCAGAAATTCAAACAAGAATCATGAAAATAGAGCTTAACTGTCAGAAAAATACTTAGAAAAATATTGATCCTATTATTGAATATGATTCACATCTTTAAAGAGCAAATATTTAAAAAAAAAAAAAAAAAAAAAAACATCTATTTTAAAATAGTCTCTATAGTAATCATTGTATCTGAGCTTACTTATCAATTGGATTAATAGCTTTACATTTAATATGATCATCCTTTCAGATGTGAAGGCTGAAATTGATGAGAGCATGATCCTACTATTCAGCAGTTTTCTTTCTCCAAAGTGGCTTAGCATCTCTATCAATATCTTATGAAAACTTATGCGTTAAACATATTTTGGTGTGTTTAGCTAAAATACATCTATACATTGATAATAGGCAAAAACAGTTTACTTATCTATGTGTATTTAAATTGATCATGAAGAAAGATCTTAGATGATCACTGTTCTATATAGTATTAAATATTCCTCTGCTGAAATGTGTTAAAAGGTTCTTGGACCCTATCAAAAGGGATTCTAAAGCATTCTGATGTTTGGTCATTTGATCAGTGGGTCAAGCAGAGCACTTTTCAGTTCACCCACCACCTATATAGCTAGCAAGAATGCTAGGTGACTTTTTAGTAGTTATAAAAATTAATTTTCTCAGATTTGTTACTTACCCAAATGCATTGATAAACCAGAAATATAATTTCTTGAGAATTTGAAAAATTAATACATGATTTTCATTGTTTAATTTTTAGCTTCTACTTAGAAGTATTATATCACTTTTAGTGTTTCCATCTGCAATTTGTGTATCCTTTGGCATAGGTCTCTTCCATTTTTATATATATATATATATATATATATATATATATATATATAATGTGTTAACATTTATTTTACGAAATAGCAGTGATTGAACCAAAGGATCAACATGCTGTTGCTTTTTTAATTTTTGTTTTAAATATTTTTATAATACAAACAATTTAACTAATTTTCTTTTCTGTATTGAGGAAGATATATTTATCTTGTGTAAGCAAATAGAAATATTTTGTATACCGTATGAGGCTAGGGTTTACATAAACTAAAGCTGTAAAAATTTACAAACTATAATACTCATATTTTATAAGGTTTCTCTCTCTCTCTCTCTTTTATATATATATATATATATATATATATATATATATATATATATATATATATATATATACACACACACTCATACAAATTGAAGCATTTTTACATTTTACCCTGAAACCTAAAAAAATTTTATAACATCTGCATAAATAAAAAAATTAATACTGAAATTTATCTACAGAAAAAAAGATTAATTTCTTACTAAAATAGTTCCCTAATAACTACTGTCTAATCCCTGCCATAGTGCAGGAATTAAATTCTATGAGCAATTACATGTGTAGCCATTGCACACTTGAGACTTTAAGTCAATATTTTGCATAATCTTTGACAATTTGAATTCACATAATTACTATATCTGTTCACACTAAACTTTGGCATCTGCTTGCTTTCTATATATTTAATATTTTATATATGTAATTAAAGTGCTTTTTGTGTATATCTTGACTCTATGGCTAGAATTTATTAAATACTAACCATGGAATCAAGGGTTGCATAAACAACTGGTATTAATATAGTCTTGAATTGGTGGTTCTTACAATATTTCAATTTTGATCTGCACAAAACAGATTCATCCATGTTCATAGCTGTTATTTATCCTATTTAGTAATGTTTAAAGGTCTTTTATATAAAATATATATAATCAAAGTGCACTTGCCCTTTCCAAAATTTCTTCCTTTTTGTAGCAGTAGTAAACATTTGTTGGTAGTTGCTGCATTTGGTAGAATGCATTGGCTGCAATAAACCAGACTTGTATTGATTAGCTGCAGGTATATTTGAATACTTTGTCAGCACTCGAGTTGGAAATAAATCTGTTATTGATGTGACTGTGCAGTGCTTGATAAACTGGAATTTTTTCTTTTTTTTTTTTTTTTTTTTTCATCTACAATATAGATGAATATGGCAGTATTATAAATGCTTTAAAGCAAGCTCATAAATCTGTTATTAAATAATTAGGAAACTCTCTTTACTATAAAACACTGAAAGAGTCCTTATTTTTTTTTAAAAATCTGAAGTTTTTGAAGGTATTTTAAAAATGTATCTAAAAACCAAATGATTTGTTTTTCTCTTTTAAAGTGTATTTTGTATTTATTTTTTTTTAAGTGTCTATTCTAGTATAATTGAGTTTGTGAGTGATATGTCAAATCTGACAAATGATTTCAGAATCCTTTCTGAAAATTGAAACAGAAGGGATCAATGTTTGCGTATGAAATGGTAGTTTTCTGTTGTATGTGGTTACTATTACATGTAGAGATGCAGATAAAGATACTAATCATGTTAATTAGTAGTGAAAAGGTTATTGGTCATTAAATGTTGATAGAAACATGATCCAAATAGATAGGAAATTGGTCTTGTACTTCATTTAAATTTATTTTTCTTACATTACTGAGGTATAATAACTATACCTTTTTATTTATTGCTGAGCATTCTTCGAGATATGCATTCAAAACTAACAGGTTGAATCATTGTTCCAGATACTAGAGGCACATCCGTATTTTAGTATAAATTACAATGGCAATAAGAAGTATGCCACTTGATCATTGTAACCATTCAGCCAGCACTTGGAATGTTATGGTGGATTAAGTTCTTAAAGATGTTATATAATATAAAAATGTTTACTTGGACACCTTTTTGATCTCACTTGTTTTTGTTTGAAGGTTTTCTAGTTGGCATTGTATACCTGGTGACAGTGAATATATTAAAAGTAGAGACACTTGTGTAGTCTTAAAATTTTGGTATGCTATTTGTTAAAAATAATCTCCTGAAATTGATAGCTATATTGATATGTTAATATACACTAAAATGTTTGCCCTAAATTTTTCAACTTTTAAACTAAATACAGAAAAGTTTTTATATAAGGTAGAATTTTTTTTTTTTTTTTTTAAGTGAACTTGCTTGATTATGAAGTACATTTTACTTGTTTACTTTACTAGGAAAATACAATTCATATTGTATTCAATCTCTTTGTACACTTGGATAAAAATATCAAAATAAATTGGGGGGGGGGATATCTCTCTTTTCCTTTATTGAAAATCTATTAATATTCTCTTAAAATTTTATAGTCTCCTTTGTGTGATTTCACTTTCATGCATAAATTTTCATTTTTGCAGGAGCTTCAAGATTTGGGTAGGGATCCTCCAGCACAGTGTTCAGCCGGGCCAGTTGGTGATGATTGTATGTATCATTTTGACCTCTTCTTTTTTCTTTTTTTTTTTTTTTTTTTTTTTTTTTTTTTTTAATAGCTTACTGCATTTTTAAGTTAAAAAAAAAAATTGGTAAAATTCTAGCATAAATTCGTTTTATAAGCATCAGTATCAATTAATGTGGTGTAATGGGTATCGGCTCAGAATGAGAAATCAGTTTGAATTCCAATAGAGTTCGTTACATTCACTCATGTACAAATATCTTTGGAAAAAGGTATGAATCCATCTCTTCTCTCAGCTATGGGTTGAATAGCAGGACAGATCATTTTGATAACCAGTCTATCACAGAAATAAACTGCAACCTACTGCAGGAAAATCTCTGCCTAGTCAATCATGAATTGAAAGAGACATGATTACCCAAGTGTGTATCACATATGGCACTTAACTGATTGATCAATTAAACACTGAACCTTTGCTGGCAATGAAGAATAATAATGTAACCTGTGTATGGCTGCCCTGCAAAAAAAAAAATGTCTTGTTTTAAATGCTTAAAGGAATATTAATGGGTGAATATCTGGAGAATTTGATAAACAAGGTAATGTTCTGTAACTTCAAGTAGCAGTCCCAGTTGTATGTGTGTGTGTGTCTCTTCAGAAACAATTCTGATGAAAGTTGTTCTGTTAAAATTTCTTCATTCTGCTCTGACTGTATTTCTACCATAGGACATTAGACTAAAATGTACAAATTTGAACTCTTTTTTTTATTTATTTATATATATATATATATATATATATATATATATATATAAAGTTCACAAGATTATTCAATTTTTGCTTAAATAGTGCATATATAGATTTATAGTAACAATTCTTAAAGATTTACTTTGAGCTAAAAGTAACTTTTCATGCAAAAGAAATAAAATATCTTTTTAAGATATATTTTAGCATTCCAATGTTTACAATAATGCTGTAAATCAGATTGAAGAAAACCCTTCCAATAAATATTCACTGTTCATCCTAACATGGAAAAAAGATAGAAAAATATCATGTATAAAATGATAGACATCATAAAAACTTTTGCACCAGGATAAAGTTTGTTTTGAGATTTGCTTATATCACAAGTGTGGCACTATGACTGGGGCAACCACATAGGTGTAATTTTATTTCAATCTCAAATGTTTCATGTTTTATAGCCAATGGATAAAATCGTTGGGGGCCTTGTCTTCTAAGTGGCATCCATCTGACCAAAAGGAAGCAAATAAGTGAAAGCTTTTGGGGTCAAGTGACAAAACCAGATTGCCAATTGCTCGTTTGTACTAACGGTCACAGTTGGTAATGAAGTAGCCAGCTTTGGTCTACTCTTGGTGGGGGAGAGAATATCCCTTGAAGTTCTGATGCCACTTGTTAGTGTTGTCAGCCCCATGTTGTAATATTAAGATGGGCAAAGAGCTGGTAGGAGGAAGTGTCAAAGAGTTGAGCTGTTAATCTAACATGGCAAAACTTCTCTCAAGTGTCATTGGCCTACCTATCCAAGCTGAACAAGTAAAGCCCTGAATAAAACCCCTAAATATATTGGGTACTGTCAGTTCTCATTTTTGTGCTTTCATGTTTCCTTGTCAACCTGTAATGAGTGCTTTCAGACTTTTGGTACACACCAGTGCAAACAAGAATAGGTACAACATGGGGTACTTATTGGCCAGTTGGTGGAAAGCTGGTTGTGTGGGAGGGTGTGCCATTTTTATATTTACACATGTAAAATGAGGAAAAATTAAGATTTTTCAAGAAGTGAAATATTTTACTTCTTAAATAAGGATTTTGTGGTCAATTTCCTAGCACAATATTTCCCCAAAAAGGTAAACAATGTTGAAAATGATTTATTTTATAATGTAGAAAAAGTTAAAAATAAATTTAAGGATTTTTTTAATTTTTTACTAAGGTTACATTTACTTCAGAGTAATAATTTTGAATATATCTCCAGCTCTATATTGGTGTACATGAATAATTTTCATCTCATTCAATCAATTATAAAGGTGTTCACATGTTTTAACATTCCTCATGTGTAATGTCACCCCAGTAAGAAAAGACTTTATTGGTGCTTTTCCAGTAGTGTAAAACTACTTGTATAAGAGGAAAAGAAAAAACTTGCAATTCATTACATTTTCATAATTTTTTAGCATGGTAATATTGTTCTTTGTATCTGTTCATCAGCAAAAGCCATAAGTTGAACTTAGTACTTGTCTGACAATAAGCTAACATGTTCATGTAAAGACAGTGACTTTAATTTCAGTCTCCTTTCTCTCCCAGAAAAAGTTTGGCAAAAGATGCATGGGACTTTTAATTTATACTGTTTGAAAATTTATTTTATTTACCTGATTAATTTTGAAGAAATCACTGTCAACTTTGATATAACTTTAACTTCACTCTAAAGTATCATTGATATAAAAATAAAGTTCAGGTGTGAAGATTAAATTATCCTTTGATTTCTTGTGAAAAGTTATGAATATTTATAAAGATTGAGCCTTGCATATTTGCATAGAAATGTAACTCACAAAATGCAGACATTGACTCAGTCTTGTATTACACCTGTTTCATTAAACTATAACATTTAACTTGTTATATAAAAAAAAAAAAACAATCCAATAAATAAATTCACAACAAAAGAATGTATTTAGAATGTTTCTGCTGTACTTCTACTTTAAGCAATAATATAAACTTGTGCTGTATCATTAGTGCAGCCTCATGTAATTTGCCATATTATTACTTTATGAAACATCTGTACTGTATAAATGTTTGAAGATAACCATAAAAATAATTGTATTACTGCTTCAATTGGTAAAAGTGTGCTTGAGATATTCTCAAGCCATTGTTCAAATGCTCTTAAATTGAGATGCAAATTCAGAGGCTTTCATTTAAGTATTTAGCTGTCTTTTTAATATCTACAGTTGATAATTTTTAAAACCAGAAGTCAATCTATTTAAATTTTCTATCTCTAATGGCAAGGTTGATAAATCAATGACACATGTTTATTTTTTCTTCCTTTTCCAAATCTCCATCAGTGTTATGTGTAGTTTGATTTATTGCATCTAAGCTTTTGTAAGAAAGCTTCTTTTTTTTTCTCTCCATAATAAAAATGTAGAGAAATCAGCTTTGTAGGTTAAAAAGCTATAAACTTGTAATTTCATCATGGATTTTATACAAACATAGGGTGGATTTGTATCTTTTAATATAAGATTGACTTTTAATACAGTAAAAATGTTTTGACTTGTGGTATTTAGGTATAAGCTATAGAATGCAAAATGTGTAAGTCTACTTTTAGCTATTAAGTTAACCAATTTGTTTAGTAAATAAAACAAACAATAATAGCAATACTCAGAATATGCTGCACACTTAAATGTAAAATTTCAGATTATACTAAAGTAATAATCTTTTCAAAAAATCTACCATTTTGTAATTTCTGCTTGTCTCGTTTTATTTTACTGAATAAATTTTAGTTTTGTATGTTTCCTTTACATGTGAAGGCACAAAATTCTTTGATAGCATTGTGTCAGTTTTTTAATATATAAACAATTTCATACTTTTTGATGTTATCTTTATAATTTTTTCTCCTGGTATTGTTCTGAGAATTTCTTTCTGTATCCATAAAGTTTTTTTTTTTTTTTTTCTTTTCTTCTTTTTTCACATAACCCCTTCAATCTTATCTTCTAATGCATGTAAGTAAATCTCAAATGTGGTTAGACTTATTGCCTGTCTGATGACTGGCCTTAAGAGACTAATTAACAAGCATTAATTCAGGCTTTCTTTCCTAGCTGAGGGTAGGAGTGTTTATTAAAGTTTGCTTGGTCTCTCAACCTGCCTTTCTTGAGATTGTTTTATCTCTTAATACAGCTGTTACTTGCCAACTATCATGGAAATTACCAGATTCAATTAGTCAACCTAGATCTCTTTCTTGCTGGCCTGGAATATTACAAATATACTTCTTGAGCCACTGAATAGAACTTGAAGCTTCTATATTAAACTTGGTTTTGAAAAGTAATTCTGCATGTTGGATGTATAGTTAATGGAATCTGTATGCAGGGTTCAAATTCTGAGTGAACCCATTTTGTTCACTTCACAAGGTCTTTGGAAGCAGTATGAATTTATCTTCCAGCTATATGTTAAATAGCAGGGCAAACTAGGCTTTCTTGCCTTGTATTCAAAACTTTAGAAAAGGCAATGGGGACAATCACTCTACTTGACTTTCCCAAGAAGTCATGGTACTTCATGGATAATAAAGTATGGAATCTGGACAGCTATATGTGTCTATCATAAAGTGACATTGATATGTGATATAAGTGATATTGACTTTGGATTGAATCTGGGTTTAGTAAAGAGTATAGATTTGTAAATTAATTCCACTGTATAATATGCAATCTCAAAAGTAGCTATTTTTAACAAATTTGAGGTGCATTTTTCTTGTATATTGCAGACATTTGTTCGTAGAAAAATACTCTACAAAAAGGAAGTTTCACATTGTGCATAGATTTTCCATTCTCTCAAAGATGCCAAACCCACAGCTGTGTGGCCAACAACACTCCAGGCATGTGCATGATCTTAATGAATCAATATACTTGTAACCTCCTTAGTATGTTTGGTATTAATGTTGTTATACTATTATTTAGCTCTCCTTGAAGTAAAATGTTTGTGACTTGACCGTTTATTCTGTGGGATTATCATATCATTACAAATATTCCTAAAATTCTACAGATTATAGAATATCAGAAAAATGAAATGTTCCTTAACTGCAGTAATAATTGCTCAATGTTCTGAAATCTGTCAAATATCAAGTTGTTTTTGAAATTACTGATTTTCCATGAAGTTTTCAACAACTTATGAAAATTATAGATTATTTCCCCTCAATTTCTATATATTCATTCACTCTAGCAACCAAGTCATTTCTTTCCTAAATACTTTAATTTGTAGAAGTGATATTCATTGAAATCTTATCAAATGATTCTTATTAAAACTGCTACCTGTGATGTGATGATGCTGATAG